CTCAGCAATACAGGGTACATCCCCAAGTGTGGCTGCATACCAGTGCGGCCATGCTCCCTGTACCTGGGCTGGTGTTAAATTTAAAGCCTGATGTGCGGGATTCCACAGAGCATAGGATGCTCCAATTACAGCGTAAATTAGCGACGTTGCGCTGGCACGACCTGCTGATCCTTCGTGCCAGGTATAGACCTTGCGTTGGAGGGCTTCCACTGCTAATGCTGGCACTGGTATTGGCCAGTAATAATTCGCTAAAACGGGAACAGGGTCAACAACCTTGGCCCTGCTCCAGGCGGAACTTCTAATCAGTTGTAATGCCTCTTTTTGATTCACAGTTTCGTTTCCGGCTTCCGCCACTAACCATCCCAACCAGGTGATAGGTGTTTCATCGCTGTGGATTGTGGTGTCTTTCTTTAGCTCGCTTATTTCAGAGCGGGTCCTGGATCGTGTGGTTACTGTGATTCTTGTTCCACCTTGAAGGTCAGTTACCAACTTTAGAACTGCCACTGGATAAGCAGTTACTAGTTCTAGTTCGTTGCTTGGTTGTTTATTCGTATTGGTTCCAGTTGATGTATCAGTGTTTATGCTTATAGTTTCGTTGGCTTGTATCGGCATCGTATTGGTTACACAGTTTCTTTCTTGATCATTGTTTATAATCGCATCAGTTTCAGTTACACTCGCGTCCTGGCTTACGGTTACTTTGTTACCCACAGTTCCGCTTGTGGACACATCCGCTTGGTGGTTGCGGTTCTCCCGCACATCCTTCAGGTGGCGCTGGCTGGCATACGGGGGCGGTGACATATTCACCGCGGGTGTTGCTGTTTCGGGAGGCGGGTTCCAGGGAGGTGTAACCATGGGCAGTGCCTTGATGGAAGGTGGGCTCGGGACAGGCGGAGCGACGGGTGACGTTGCAGTGGGGGGAAAGCTTTTCATGGGCGGAGCAGGCAGTGATGTAGGCGTGGGTGTTGGCACGCTTTCGGATCCACCGGCGCCATCTTGTAGTGGCTGCTCGGCCAAATTTTTGGTGGCAGCTCTAGCAGCAGTCTGGAGTTGCAACCCCAGATCCAAGAATTCCCGCATCAAAACAACGTACTCACAAAATAAAATATTTATTATGCGGCCCTTTTTCCACTTCAGGCCGGTCCATTTGGCCTTCCTGCCGTCTCGCTCCAAGCCCTCGCGTAACTGCGTCAGGAGCTTGTGCCCCCTTGATCCGGCCATGAGGCTCGGACAGTGGAACCGATCCGGAGGGGTCTCTTCTCCCTCCTTCACATACTTTATGCACCGGGCAAACTCCTGAGCCGGGCTGAGACTTGCCGGGGCCGGAGGTTTTGCACGGGCCTGGGATGCAGTTCCTTTCTCCTCCCTTGGGCGATATACGGCCCGGGAGTCTCTCAGCACACAGCCCAGGGCTCCCAGACTGAGCCAGATGGCCCTTTCTTCCCCACTGGTCCTGCAGAAGGACAGATAGCTGTGGATCGCAGCCGAGGCCTGGTTTATGGCCTGGTGATATGCAACGTGGCTCCATGGGTCGTCCGGATCACTGGTCGGACGGACCCCGCTGCCCCATGGGCAGCTCTGAATCAACTCAGACTCGAGATTGCCTCCCTTAGATCCTGTTCGTGACGCCATGTCGGAACCAAATGAAGGCCCCAAGGTCACGGTGGGCCGGGGGTGGCGATTGGAACACAAACAGGTGGGATTTGCAGCGGTGGAGTCTGAGTGGCACGAAAGCGTGTGGTTTCAAACAGGTGGATCTATTGACTTACGCTTTGAGGCGTAGGCAGAGCTGCTTTCTTGTTCAGTTACAGCATTAACGAGGACGAACAACAACAAAGGGTCTGTTGGCCCACGGGGTTCACGAGTGAGCCCTTGCTTTCTACCCCGCAAGGGATAGATGCGGCTGCCCACTTGCTAGTCCCAGTGCTGGTCAACAGCTCATGAGATGGAATACCAAACTAACGAGAAACTGTAACGCGTGATGCCAGTCCAGTGACAGACAACGAAGAGAAGAGATGATAGTAGCCAATGCCGAGGTCAGATGCTAGGTAAGTAGAAGACGAAGCCATAGTCAAAGCAGTAGGGGTGATCCAAATCAAAGTCAAAGTCGAAGCCAAAACAGTCCGGTAACCAAAGGAATCAATACAAGAAGAACCAAAATCGAGGAGCTAAATCGTTGTATGAAGTTATGAGGAGAACCGGGGGTTTGAATCCCAATCTCTCTGTCTGCCTCACAGTCCCTGCTAAAAGCAGCCTCTGTTTGCAGATCGAGCACAGTCTCTCAAAACACTCACACCAGCGCCTGCACTCCTAATGCCCACCAACTCCAAACGCCCACACCTAGGTGGGGGCTCACTAGCCTTTTATAGGAATTTAGTGGCCAATCAGATTGCTTTGTATATAGAAATTTCTGGTCAAATTATGTCATGCTTTCGCCAACTGAGCATGTGTCGGATCAAGCTCTGTGTAGTAACTGAGCATGCGCAGGGCTGGAAAGTAGGTCAACAAGATTGACAGGTCCTGAAGTCACCCAGGGGGCACGTGCTGAGTGAGCCCTGGAATTTTCCACTCACAGAGTAGGTCTGCGCATGTCAGCTTCAATCTTCTGTGTTGTCAGCATACACTTAAGATATTTCTGTGACAGTTATGATATTTTAGACTGACTTTCTGCATTATACATGGTCAGCTCTTGACTATGTTAACATAATTATAGAATCATTGAAAGTAAATATGAAAATTCCATTGTATAACTCAAAGCCATTTTATAGTTAGAGGTTTATTATTTTTAAGGAAAAGATAAAACAAGGGGATCTGCAGAATTTATTTAATACATTTTAATCCAAGAACTTTTATGAATTAAGTCCATGGTTAGGCAGTTTAGTTTAAATATTTTTTTAAACCCCCCCACTAGGCCATTGAATCTACCTGCAAGAGAAAAGGTATTTCAACTTCAATTGTTATGCTGGACAAAGAAATAAATATTCATTCTGAATTTTTAAATAGCATTATATTTCTAAGAGTACTAGAAATAGTTGCTTATATTTCTAAACATCTAGTATATATTTAGTAGATACAGTTAATTCTCAAATTCAGTCTGTATTTATCTTGTTAATAATAATAGCCAAATTGTCTTAGATCCATGTGCATAGTAAAGATTCTGCAGACCAGATCAAGGCTGAGTCATAGATTGCCAATCCCTGACATAAGGGGTTTAGTATGCCAGGTTAAAGTGTATGTAGTAGACGTAGGAGTACTGCTGTCCGTGCTTGAAGAAATCTATATGTGTGTACTAATCAGTCTTCTCAGTATTGTCCCTCTCTTTCAGTTGGAGATACTAAGACCAACATTTTTAAACGTGGGTGCCTAAAGTAAGCAATCAAATCCTTATCTAAGACCCTACCAAAAGTGATCTTTTTTTCTTCTCTTTTTCTGTCTTCAAAGGTCCAAGCTGTGGATGTTTATCAGCTCTGACAATAAGGGTACTTTTACTTAGGTGCCTAAATGTGAATTTTCCACAAATGTACTTTGTCATTGATGATGCTAAAGCAGTGCAATGAGGAAGTGGCAGATTGGGGATTAAACTCAGGAGTTCCTAGATCACAGGCCTTAGGCAACACTTTCAAGCAAAAGTGTCATAATAAAAATTAAAAGATCAAGGGAATCTATAGCAATGTAGTTGTGTTGACTGAAAATAGTGGGCTAAGCGTTTGTAATGTGTTTCTTAATTAGAGATGTAGGCATAGTGTGAAAAGAAAATAAAAGCCTCAAGTGCTTTTACAATTTAATGGAACCCACTACAGAAATCCTTGTGGATCCTGGACTGCTGGCATTAGAATCAGACAGACACGGTGCAGACTGTTTGAAAGGAACTCTGCTTCTTTCTCCCTCACTAAGAGACTTAGTACCCCTAAGCCTGCGACCCAGCACCCTGCCATGGACTGCGTGTCTTCACCTCCTGGAGCATCCAAGCTGCTTGCTCTTACCCATGCTGCTGATCCACTGTCCTGCTGTAGGACAGCAGCAGTGAGGGTAAGTACAGGCACAAGAGAGCAGCAGGGAGGACTGCAGAGGGAGGTGCTGCAAAAGGGAAGGAGCAGCATGGCACAGCTATGTACTACCTAATTGCCCCGTACTGTCCCAGGCCAGGTTGAACCTTTGCAGGCTGGATCCATCCCGCAGGCCATAGGTTGCCAATCTTTCCTCTAAGATGCTTCCCCCACCCTTCCCTGACAGGCTATATGTAACTTTTCTACACACTTTTCTAGTTCTTAGCCTACTGATTTCACCTGTTGCAGTCTGTGTAAGTGCAGCTGAGGGTATAATACACTTGCTCTCACTCTGATCACACCCTTCTGTCCCCTCGCATAAAATATAAGGACCCAGCAGTGTTTGGTAGCTTAGGGTGATGTGGGTGGATACTCTCAGGAGGGCAGATCATAAGATTAGACTTTGTTACGGATATAAATTAATTGTTAATGTTTTATGCATTAGTATAAATCACATCAGAATTTGTTCCTCATTTCATGGAATCCCATTATTGACCTGATCTCAGTCCTTCTCCTTCATCTTTTTTCCCCTGAATCACATTAAAAATTTCAAGTCATAGAATAAAGACCCAAAGTTTATTTTTTCAAAGGAAAAAAAAGGAGAGCTGGTGAAAACAGCCCTGACAGCTGTACTCTGTGGCTCAGTAAATTAAAGCTTTTTACTTGTTCCTTTCAAGGATGTGTTTAGTCTAGATTCCCTTGATTTATGTATCTTTTTTGGCTGGGTTGTATTTTTTTATGCAGATTTCCACTGATTTAATTCAAGTTCATGTTTGCCTAGGATGAGACAGAAGAATGTGAGTGAATTTAATCCTTGAAAAGGTTTCTTTAGCAAACTGTCATTTAAAGAATTGTTTAGCTTTTAATGCCATCTCCCATTATGTTTTACAAAAACATTCTGAAATAGATGGAACTTGGGACTGTGTTGTGAATTCATCTCTATTTTTCCACTTATAGAAGTGGCAGTGCATTGAAGATACATCTGGCAAACTTCGAATTCACAAGTGTAAAGGATCTAGTGATATGCTCGCCATCAGGAAGAGAACACGAAGCATACACTCCAGGGGATACAGCAGTAAAGACAAAGACTGCAACTGTGAAGATACTGATTACCGAGCCAGCAGGACCCAGAGGAAAAATCAAAGACAGTTCATGAGAAACCCTAATGCACAAAGTAGGTGATATCAGGTAGCAGGAGTGAAGTTAACTGAGAAACACTGTAGCAGCAAGCAATTATATATGTAACAAATACACCTGTAGTCTACATTTGAGTAATTGCTTCTTTAAGGAGTTGGAACTTACTTGACTGATACCACAGTAAAGAACACTATTTAAGCCAATTGTAGTAATGATGATGTTTTGGTGCCACCTATTGTGCTGGTTGAATATAAAACATAAGAGTAACATAAAATCAGTACAACTATTATTTCATCAATACTACATTGGTTAAAATGTTGTTCTTTGAAATTCAGTAGACGTTTCAAAAAATCAGACATTAAAAAATGTTGTCAAAAGTTATATCTTAATAACCTGAGGGTTTTTATCAAAAATAACTTAACTTGTTTGTAGTTTAATGAGTTAGAAGCTAGTATCCTCTGGTGGAGTGCACTCTAAAATGAAGCTGCTATGAGATTAAATATATTACTATTCAACTGACATTAAACTTAAAAAATTTTCAAATGGCTGAGTATATAAGGTCAGACCCAGAGAGTATTAGTCGCTGGAAGTAAATCATTATGGTGCTCCATGACCAGTGGTGTCCCCCAAAGCTCCATCCTTAGACCGGTTCTCTTTAACGTCTTTATCAACAGTGTGGACACTGGTGTCAGAAGTGGACTGGCCAAGTTCACCAGTGACACTAAACTTTGGGGTAGAGCATCCACACCTGAGTATAGGCTGGTGATCTGGGCTGACTTGGATAGGTTTAGAAAGTGGGCGGATATAAACCTGATGGTATTCAATACTGAAAAATGCACGGTACTCCACTGGGGGGAGGGGAAGGGAGGGTACCCACAGCATGTTTATAGGCTCAGCAGTGCTGCGCTCGCTAGCACCACAGCTGAAAGAGTCTTGGGGGTCATGATTGACCACAAGATGAACATGAGCCACCAATGCGATGTCACAGTTGGTAAAGTAAACAAAACTCTGGCTTGCATCTATAGATGCCTCTCAGGTAAATCTCAGGATGTCATCCTCCTGCTGTAGTCGACCATGGTGAGGCCGCAGCTGGAGTACTGCATCCAGTTCTGGGCTCCACAATTCAAGACGGATGTGGAGAGGCTTGAGAGAGTTCAGAGGAGAGCCACGCACATAATCAGAGGGCAAGAAAACAGGCCTTATGAAGAGAGGCTGAGAGCCATGGGACTCTTCAGCCTGGAAAAGCGCAGGCTCAGGGGTGGCAGCCTATAAGTATATAAGGGGTGTGCATCACAATCTGGGGGAACGCCTGTTCACGAGAGTGCCTCAAGGGATGACAAGGTCCAGTGGTCACAAACTCCTCCAAGACCATTTTAGGCTGGACGTAAGGAAAAACTTCTTTACTGTCCAAGCCCCCAAGGCCTAGGATAGACTCCCTACAGAGGTGGTGCAGGCAGCTGCTCTGGACTCTTTTAAGAAACATTGGAAACAGTCAGCTAGGGTCAAAGGATCCTAGCAAGATAAATCTGCCCCTGGGACAGGGGGCTGCACTTGATGATCTTTCAAGGTCCCTTCCATCCCTAATGTCTATGAAATCTATGAAATAACAAAACAAAGTGCTAGTTTCTTCAGTGCCTCTACATGTGCACCAAGCATGCAGAAACTGCCAGTATTTGGTGTTCATATCTACAAATATTAAATCCTTTTTAAAACATTTTTCTTTTCTATGAATGCCCAAAACACAGTTGTGTTTTGGTGGCTTCAATCAAGAATAGGCTTCTTATAGTATGTAACTGGACTTTAGTTTCTAGAATTCATTGTCATGGGCCATCGCAACAGTGAAATTAGATAACAAGAATTAACAACCAGTTGCAAGAGACTGCACAGGTGTATATGAAGTTGTAGAAAAAATACTGTATTCAGACATAGTGGCTGAAGATGTAATTTAAAACCTGTACCATTCTGCATATGGATAAGAGGGAATAGTTCAGTTTGTACGTTCTGCCATAATTTAGGCATAACTTTTTAGTTCTCTAACTGTTTAATTTAACTGCTGCCTTAAAATAGAATCTTGCACATACTAAGGTTAAAAATTAATTAACTTCCTTCTGGTATATATATTCAAGTGACCTTTGCTAGATATCATTACAATCACTGGGCCTGTCTATATGAGATGCTTATTGCGCATTAGCCTAATTGCACTGTGCAGTAGTGTGTCACAACAAAAACCATACTAATAGTGTACTGCTCAGTGTTATTAGGCTAATACCCAGTAAGTGTCCCTAAATAAACATGCACTGGCTGTACTTTGCAGTAACTCCAGGTACTGCACATTTAGTTAGTTTAGTACTTCCTAAAGAAAGTACTAAATGCGCGATATCTAAGGCACGTTAGTGCACGGGTGAATACACCCACTCTGTATAACACTCTCAGCTGGTGGACATTCTCCTATGTTATAATCATTAAAGCTCTGTACTTTTAGAATCGGGATTAAAATTTCTACCCTTATGGTTGCAATAAAGTTGCAGCTGGCCACAGTGTGATTTCCCTAGAAATCTTCTGAGGTAGGTCTACTTTGCCTTGTGTTTCACTTCATCTCACAGTTTTCTGTAATAAATTAAGATGGACAAGATTCCATTTATAATCCAGATAAGGCAAATCAGATCACAAACTTCCCATTGTTCTCCTTTCTGTTCCGTTCGTAGTTCAGATTGTGGGGGCTGCCTTTATAGCCTCCCCAGAGGAAAACATCTGGATAGGGGTCAGGTAGGAGAAGAAACTCTCCAAGTTTCAATTTGTGGAGATTGTCTTCAACCGTCATCCCCTTGTTGGACTTTGTCAAGCTCAGATTTAGACAGCTCTGCCATTTTCCCAGCCTAGAAGACTTTCTGGATCTACAAGCCATGGAACAAAATTCTCAACAGCCATCATGCCACCATGGTTCCATTAAAAGTTGCAATATTGTTGGTTGTAAGGATAACTAATGAGTTTTGTGCCATCAGCAGAGAGCCTGGAGGGGAGAGAGCGATATCAGTCCTACTGTCCCTGGAGCTTCAAAGACCATGGCTGCTCCTGCTGTGGTATGCACTCCACAGGGATCCCCTCTAAATCGGCACTTGGGGCTAGTGCCCCACTCAACCACCCCTATTTCCACTTCTGCTGTGACAGCCATGGTGTAGCTTCAGCTCTGAGCTGCCCCCATACTGTGCTCTCCTGCCCACATACTATGTTTTCTCACATACTTTTCCCAAAATCTGGCAGCTGGAAATTGTAGAGCAGGGCAAAAGATGGCACCACAGAAAGTCGTGCTTCTTCATCCCACCTCCAGACATGAGTTTGTCTTACAAAACTCTTTTGAATTCCATCCAAGCAAAGAACAATCAGAGGGGCATTATGGTAGTCAGACACAGTTCATAGGCAAAGGAAAAATTCAGACTTTTTTTTTTTCAGACTGCTCTCAGATAACATTGGAATATGTTCCAAACTGTATTTCAGTCACTTGATTAATAAATAATGCAGTATCAGATTTTGGCCTTGCAGAATCTATTTGACCCTGCAAATCTTTAACCACTCCTTCATTACAGAACACAGGATTGTAAATCAGAGAAATGCTTAGAAGCTGGCTTTCTCTTCTGAAAGGTATAGATCTTCACTGAGTCATTGGGATTGTTTTTTTAATATGTCAGCAGGCATCCATTGAACTAGTTCAGGAGGAAAATGTGGTTTGAAAGAAATTTTAAATGAGGGTCACTGTTTGCACTTCCAGAAGATTCTTGTGCAGAAGGTTCAATGTGGAGTCTCTAAAAAGTGAATGGAAAGTTTGTGATGTGCATTTTCTGTCAATGGATATACCTTCTCACAACTCCCAAGATAATTTTTTTTCCTACATTACACTAAAAATATAGCTGAAAACATAATATTAAGAGTTCCAGGATTTCACATGAAGTCTTATCTATCAGACACAAATATGAAATGTTATAATCTATTTCCACTTCCCCCTCACTCCCTTAACGTGATGGCACTGAATATTTAACATACGTAACAATGATTCCAATACCATTTTAGTTCTGTTCCAAAAGATGTTTGTTTCTTCCATTTCAAATACATTATTACCTACCTGGTGACATGGTTTCAATTTACATGAGGGGAGTCAATGACACAGCCCATGGAGCCCTATCACCTGGCATCCAGTGCTGCCCTATGGACCCATATGTGGCATGCCATGAACCAGCCTGTGAACCACATGCAGCATATGCTAACTCTGGCCCTGGCCCCATCCCTGCATGCTGCACGTGAGGACCAGTCTGATGCATGCCACATATGTCAGGGAGGGCTGATCCAGGGCGCATGCTGCAGGCAGCATGAAGGGCCAGTATCTAGGCACAATCTATCCCACAGACCAGACCCACACTACTCATCCATCTTGCAAGACCTGATGAGTTTGGTACCTCTTGTTTACAGGAAATAAACTTTCCCCTTCTGATAGGTCTACAGTCTTATTACTGTGTGATTTACTGTATTGTCAGATGTTTATATATTATGTAGACTAAAAGATGGCGTGGTATAGTTTGAAAGTGTTATCACCAAGAGGTTGGGATACCTATATTTGATTATGACTGGTAAAATGCTTGAGTTATGCAGGTCATCCAAGTTGAGTCCAAATAAAATATGTATACCATTCTCTTCTTACATTTATTGATAAAAAACCAAACAAATATATTTAGAGAGTATGTCACATTTTATTTGGCTTTTTTTATTATCTCTCTACCTTTAAAGCAAAGTGACTTATTTACTTGTAGGATCTGTAAAATAGGATTTATGGTATTTTAAATTGTAACATTTCTAAGTCTAGAAACTCAGGCCCTTCCTGAGGCATAGAAATGAGTGCTGGATTCCCTTGAAAATGGGAGAATCTTTTCTAGGCCTGCAAGTACAAGTTATAGGAGATACATTATATGCATGTGCAGGGACAAGGTGTTACTAGTTTGGGGGTCAAATCTTGCCCTTTTAACTTTGAATGGAAAAAAGGTGCCACTATATTCTTAAGCAAGCATTCGTTTACCAGTGCACAAGAAACCATGTATGAGGCAAGTGCCATGTGGAAATTGCGTCAATAACATGATTTCATGTGGATATACAAGTGCTGAATATGTCTGAAAACCAGCCTTAGGTGTCAAAAGTTGGGTAAACAAAATTGTAAGGCCCCAGTTTCAACTCTGACTTGCTGAAGATTATTAAAAAAAAAATCTTTTCAGGTCAGAAAAGTGAACTGAGGTATCCCATGTCTGTGCATCAAATCAAAAGTTCATTCTCTTTATCCTGTCTATGAAATTAGTATGTACCCAAGAACTGGGAAGGCCTCAGTGAGGGGGTTGAGGCATGACTACAGGAGTGGCACAGGTGCCTGCCCAGCCTCTCCTACAGTGGCCAGGTCCTGCTCATCAGCAACCTGGCACAGGTGTGCTATCCTGGACCTACTAATGACCCTACCCAAGGGGCTTCAGAAGCTCCACATGGACTTCTGGACCACATTCAGATGAAGTATGTGGCACTAGAGACATGTCTGTGGTTACATACCCAACATTCAGCTGTTCTCAGTGCTGCAAGTTTTTGGGGGTTTTTTGTTTTGTTTTGTTTTGTTTTTGGGTGGGGGGGAACACTGACCCTGGGAGATCTTGGGGTCAAAAAACCCATGGAAAAAAAACCAAAGCAGAGCATGCAGGGGCAGTATGCTCCACCCAAAACCAGAGCCTGACTTGCCAAAGCCACACTGCAGCTGCCAGCCAGGCTCCAAGCAGCAGGATCACTGCTGCTGCTGCCCCAGGGGGTCCCCAGGACCCCCGGTAGGGCTGCTGGGGTCAGCCCAGTGGTGGCCCCAGCTGCCCATACCCCACCCGGGGTAACCTGCCATGTACCAGGCTGTGCATGACACAAATGTTCCCCCAGACAAGTAGCAGTGGAACAAGGGAAGTTGGCACAACTGAGGGGAGCAACAGGCTACAGTTAGACCTAGATAGGTTACAAGGATGGGCGGAGGAGAACAGGATGGGGTTTAACACGGACAAGTGTAAGGTGTTGCACCTGGGGAGGAACAATCGGCACCACACATACAGGCTGGGGAACTCCCCTCTTGTCAGCACGGAGGTGGAAAAGGATCTGGGAGTCATTATTGACTCCAAGATGAACATGAGTCGGCAATGTGGGGAGGCGGCTAGGAAGGCCAACTGCACCTTGTCGTGCATCCACAGATGCATCTCGAGCAGGTCCAAGGAGGTGATCCTCCCCCTCTATGCGGCACTGGTCAGGCCGCAGCTGGAGTACTGCGTCCAGTTCTGGGCGCCGCACTTTAAGAGGGATGTGGACAGCATCGAGAGGGTCCAGAGGAGGGCCACTCGTATGATCAAGGGACAGCAGGGTAGGTCCTATGAGGAAAGGTTGCGGGACCTGAACCTGTTCAGCCTTCAAAAGAGAAGGCTGAGGGGGGATCTTGTGGCCTGTTATAAACTGGTTAGGGGGGATCAGCAGGCGCTGGGGGAGTCCCTGTTCCCCTGAGCGCCGCAAGGAGTGACCAGGAACAATGGTCACAAGCTGGCGGAGGGAAGGTTTAAGTTGGACATCAGGAGGCGCTACTTCACGGTCAGGGCGGCTAGAGTCTGGAACCAGCTTCCAAGTGAGGTGGTGCAGGCTCCCACCCTGGGGGTTTTTAAGAGGAGGTTGGATGACCACCTTACTGGGGTCGTTTGACCCCAGTGCTCTTCCTGCCATGGCAGGGGGTCACACTAGATGATCTGCTCAGGTCCCTTCCGACCCTAGAAACTATGAAACTATGAAGGTGTGCCACTGCTTCTTGTCCCCAGGGAAACAGAAGTCCACGCTCATGTGGACATGGCCTTGGAAGGGCATGGTAAAGAGGGAGTTTAATTCTCTGGTGATACAGTGTTTTTGTTGCTGACAGGGCGTTTTTGTTGCTGGGGGACCACACACAGATTTTGCACTTCTACCTTTTTGTTTTTAATATTTTTGTAATAAAGGTTTAAAAAGTCACATCTCAAAGTACTACTACTACTACTACTACTATTAATAATTCAGAAGTATATAAGCATGCATGTTTTCCTCTCCCATTGCAGAGTACAAACCAAGATTTGTTCACACTCGGCAAACTCGATCTTTGTCTGTGGAATTTGAAGGTGAAATATATGACATAAACCTGGAAGAAGAAGAATTACAAGTGCTGAAATCCAGAAGTATTACTAAGCGTCATAATGCTGAAAATAAGGAGGATTTGGAAAACACTGATGGTGCTGGAGCTGGTGGTGAAGAAATGCTAGCTGATGGCATCAATATAGTTAGCCAACCTAATTCTGTCAGAGTGACACACAAGTATAAATGCTTTATCTATTTTTGAATTCTTATACTTTTTATTGTGTTTTTAAATATTTTATAGTTTCAGCGTACCAGAATACAAGAATATCATGAAAGAATGATTTATGTTTTTTGTTTCCTTTTACCAGGTCAAATTATTTACCTATTAAAGTAAGTCTTTAGGGGCAGGGAAAGTCCAGCCCTTGGGCCAGGTTGGGTCCATGGCAGACTCCATTTCCTGGAAGCCCTGCCCATGTTGTTGCAGCCAGTTTCCATGGAGACCCCAGCAGCAGCGGGGCCGTGACAGTGTGGGGCCAGTGTCTTGACAGTACAGCTGGGCAGGGAATTGCTCCAGGGCTGGGATCTTGTAGTAGTGATAACATGGTTCGTGGCCAGGGCAGAACTGTGATCCACTACCTACATGCCCTGAAACTACATTGTCACCGCTGCAAGATCCTAGCCTGGATCCTGGAGGAGTTCCCTGCCCAGCCGCGTTCCCGGCCAGTGCTGCGGGGCCAGTCTCCATGGAAACCCTAGCCTTGCACTGTCATGACCCTGCTGCTGGGGTCTCCATGGAAACCAACCATAGCAACACACGCAGGGGCACCTGGGAAATGGGGGCTGGCCACTAGCTGGATCCACCGTTTTGCCCACCCCTGCTATAGATTAACTAAATCAAAGGCATATAGCATAAGCTTTCATAAGCAATGGGCTTACTGTTTCTGATATATAAGCTTACAAAAGCTTATACTATGCATCCCCAGTTAGTCTATAATGTTCAAAAGTACACTACCTTTTATGTAAATCAGATTAAACCTATTTACAATTGCTTTCACTTGCTTTTTATAGAAGGCCCAGTTGAATGTACACTTGAACAAAACTGAGCTGGAATAGTTTTCCCAGCCTAGGAGAGTTTTTGAGATGTCAAAGTTTAATGCCCTTTCTGAATCAGACTACAAAAAAGCAAAACCTTGAATTTTTTTTGCAACCATTGCATCTGAAAATATTTTTGATAGGCTTAATAAAGCATTCTGAACCCAATGTTTGCATTTTAACCTTTTTACTATATTTCATAATAAAAAGTTCATTTCAAGCTAGCAATTATTTTTTCTTTGGAAAATGCCAGATAATTTGCATAGTCCCCAAACTTTTTATTAACTTTGAATTGGGAGATTATTAAAACTGACCTTTTCTCACAAACTGTTTCAGTTTGAACAGGTCAGTGTTTTCCAACAAACAAAATGTCTCTGTAGAAAATTCCAAACCAGCTCTACTATAGAGAGCTAACCTATAATGGTCAGGGATGGAGCAGTAATCTCTTCTGTCTCTGCTCTGTATCTCTGTGACTCAAGCAAGAATTAAAAAAAGAGAAGATAGTAGTATCAGATCAGAGCAGGACAGGTGATGGTGTGCCCATAAATTCTCAGTAATGCATAGTTAAGGAAGCTCTGCGTGACAATCAGCATCTGACAAAGTAGGCTGTTACCTGCAAAAACTTGTGCCTCTCTGAGGCTTTAAGGTCTTTATGGTGCCTTCTGAAACAATTAATAAAACAGACTGTGAGAAGATAATAGCCTGCAGATTTTTCTCTCTTTCTATCCCTCAGCTTGCTGTTTTTCTTTGCTTAGAGACATTTTCCTGAACAGCTGTACATCAATTAGGCACTTTATTAGCCAACTATTTATATTTTTACCACTTACTTGAACTCTTTTTCAGTAACATGATAAATTGTCATGTAATTGGCAGGCATGTCTCATTCTTACCTATTTTGTACACTTGGAATTGGACTCATGGTACTGTGGCAAGATAAAAAAGGAATCTTCTTCCCTGCAGCTGGTATCTAAATAGGCCATGGCAAATCTGTCTAACAGAGTATTTAGATATCTGAGGGGGGTTATGTTTTGGTTTCTTTTTTGACTGAACTGAGTATGTCTGACATGGTAATATTGTTAAATTTCAGCACAGCAGGCATAGAGCTCTTGCCTTGAACAAGTTTTCTTTGTGCTGGAGTGAAAACAGATGGAAGCAGTTATTTGGACTATTAAACCAACACGAGCCTCGGGGTGTCATTGTTGAGTTTGTTTTATTACTTGGTAGAGGACAGAGTACCACTGGAAAACCTTGAGGGAGGGCAGAGTGGGAGGGCCGGAAAAGAGACTGAAAGAAGAATGAAGAGGTGGATGTTCAAAAGGAAAGGTATTGATCTTTGTATTCATAGTTTGTTGAATGACTGCTAATACTTATATTCATAGGTGTTTTATTCTTCCAAATGACACTATCCACTGTGAGAGGGAATTATACCAATCAGCCAGAGCCTGGAAGGACCACAAGGCCTACATTGACAAGGAGGTTTGAGCTATTTCCAAATCTATTCTGAATGAAGATTCTGAACATTTATGTCATCATTGTGTAACTCTGATTATAAATATACTTTGCAGATTGAAGCTCTCCAAGATAAAATTAAAAATTTAAGAGAAGTGCGAGGACACCTGAAAAGAAGGAAACCTGATGAATGTGATTGTAGTAAACAGAGGTAAAAAAAAATCACCTGCAGCACTGCTTGTGTTATTAATTTAGCAGACTCATTACTTTTTTACAGTGGAAAAGATTTAACTTTGGTATAAGTGTTCTTTATTAGCCACTATAAGCTTAGTGTCCAAAACAGTCCAAAGAGCAAAGTTTATATTCTGATCGAAAAATTGTCAAAACTGTTGGATCTGGGTTTTTATTTAATTTCATTATATATGAAGAAACCAGTATGAATGAAATTAAGACCCAGAGCTGTATTTAACATTGGGTGTCTATGGTTACATATTTGAACCCATTTCTAGCAGTACAGTATATACTAATACTATACTTACTTGCATATGGCATATACCTTTTTTCCCTAAAAATAAGCCCTCCAAATTTGGGTTGCTGGTCTTAAGTGAGGAAGCTGATTTTCTTTTCATGAACTTCACTGCATGGAGGCATAGAAGCATATGCTGTGCTACAAGATTAGATTATTGCCAACTTCTCTATCTCTGCCATGACCCAGGAGGGGGCACTCAGTGTTAACACGTTCATAGCAACTCTGAAATTGGCACCCGTTTTTGGCAGGTTTTAGCAAGGTTTGGCAAGGGTATGGGGGATGTGTAGTAGTGAGGTGGTACCCACCACAAGTTGAGAGAGACTGTGAAAGGGTTAACACTAAACTGCACCCCCTCCTGTTTCCAGACAGACAGAGAAGCTGTCGGCCACCCTGTAGCATGGTGTGTTAATGAAAACACTCAGCTCTAGCCATGAATCTGGAAAAATCTGTTTTCCCTATATTCATATTTGGGGGGGGGGGTGGTACTGTGAAAGAGAAAGTACTGTGTGTCATTGTGCAAACACTAGTACTCCTACCATTTCAGTAAAACAACATAAAAGATCATTTGCAGCTCAACATTTAATTAAACAGATGGCATACTTCAATTTAGCTTTGAATACAAAAAATAAATTCTGTTTTTCATGACTTCATAAAATGTAACCTTTTTTCATAATGTTGCACATAGCTATTACAACAAAGAGAAAGGGGTGAAGGCTCAGGAGAAACTGAAGAGTCACCTTCATCCATTCAAGTAGGTGTAATGTTTTTCCACTCTAATATTATCTAGCTTTTCAGTAATTGGGGAATGTCAGAAATAAATCAGTCATAAACACCAGCTCCCGGGCAGCAAGTATACTGAAATATAGCAGTACTGAAAGCTTGGGAGCTGAACCCTCAGAAATTCTGGAAAGTGATCCTGAAATTAAAAATAACAGCAAAATTCCAATAGAATTAATCATTTGAAGGACAGACAAACTAATTGATGCCTCATAGGGTCCCATTACCCTTAGATACAATACCTAATACAGCACTTATCAAACTTACAGATGACACCATTGGGCCATAACTCCCTCTAGTAAATTTTGAGAGAGGTGTTAATTATCTTCCCTCTCATGTAAATAGTTTCCATGATCCAGCCTTTTAAAACCTCAGGTAAAAATCATAATTGTTAAATCTCTCTTTAAACAAATAGAAATTATTCTTTGTAAACTACAAATTGCTTTCCTTTTCAACAGAGAAGCAGCACAAGAGGTGGACAGTAAAATTCAGTTATTCAAGGAAAACCGCAGAAGAAAGAAAGAAAGAAAAGGGAAGAAGCGCCAGAAGAAAGGAGATGAATGCAGCCTTCCTGGACTCACATGTTTTACCCATGATAATAACCACTGGCAGACAGCACCATTCTGGAACCGTGAGAACCTTTCTTATTATCTTCACATGTAGACATTAATGAGGGTCATCCTCCCATGTGGGGAGATATAATTTCTAACTATCACAGACACTAAGGGCATTATTTGAAAAATAAGTACTTATGTTGCTGCTACAAAATGCAGAAAGGTTGTTCAAATACCTTTATGAAGAGCTGCATTTGTAATTCTTGCTTCTATTATATCTTTATTATGCTGTATCACTACAAAGCCTCAGTCAAGTTCAGGGTCCGACTGTGCTAACCACTATAGAAAAATAAAAAAGACCTGTCCATCAGCTATTTAGTTTTCTGTCACCTCTTGTAGATTAAGCTATCTAAATATATGGGGGGACTTCTAAATATGTGGTTTTGTAATTGTAATAAGAAAAAATATATATGTTCCATTTTTTACAAGACCTTATGCCCATTAATTGCTCATAATTCCTTATAATAGCACTGGTTAAATTCTGATATCTCACTTCTGTGAAAAACTGAGGTAACGATTTTGTATTGATGTAGGTTGTAGCCATGTTGGTTTAAGGACACAGGCAGACCAGGTTCTTTGGGTAAATCCAATATCTTTTATTAGACCAACTCAAATAGTTGGAAAAATTCTTCTTAGCAAGCTTTTCAGCACAAACACCCTTCATCAGGCTGAGGAAGCATCTGCAGATGGTCTGTGCTCTTCCTGGATGGAGTGGTAAAGTGGCCAGAGGCCAGTACATATGCAAGAAAGCCAGTCAGTTAAAATGTAAATTGAGGTGGTCAGTATGTGAGAGACAGGGTGGTGGGGGATGAAAGTGTCTGTAGTCAAAGGATGAGACACGGGGGCGGGGGTGGGAATGAGAATAGCTGGTAGAAAGTGGAGGGTTTACTTGGGGAGTCCAGATTTTTTATGGTATTTTATAAGCCTTATATAAGTTTCCCCATTACCTCTCCCTTCCCAACTCCCAGTGAAATCAGTTTCTGTCTTTTGAAGTCAAAGCAGAATTAATCGTAGGATTTTACCTTAGGGAGTTTAATTTAAAGGATTTTTACTATTCATTATAGGATTTTTACCTTCTGTTTATTTCCAATCTGTGCTTTTTAAAATGTATGTGTGTTCATAGGTATGGATTATTTTTTTTTGGTTCTCTATTTTTTAATATCATTTAACTTTTTTAAAGTTAAAGAATTTTCAAGAGAATCAAGTACATAGTGCATCAAATCAGCCCAAGATTCACCAACTGAAGAGATATGTCTTTGTCGTCTTATTCTTCTAAAATTAATGGGTTTTTTTCCCTTATTACAGTGGGCTCCTTCTGTGCTTGCACAAGCTCAAACAACAATACTTACTGGTGTTTGCGAACAGTTAATGAAACCAACAATTTTCTCTTCTGTGAGTTTGCAACTGGATTCTTGGAATATTTTGATATGAACACCGATCCTTACCAAGTAAATCTGTTTCCATGTTACCAACTGTTCAGCACTACCCTTCTGTATCTTTGCACTCCAGTTAACAAATACTTTCTTTTTCCATTGTTCTGCTTCCTCTGCCCAGCTGACAAATACAGTACATACTGTGGAAAGAGGCATTTTGAACCAGTTACATTTACAGCTAATGGAACTGAGAAGTTGTCAAGGTTACAAGCAATGCAATCCACGACCTAAAGGACTTGAATCAGGTAAAAAAGAAGAAAGAAAGAACAGATTAGTTATATTTTAGAGCTATTTTTGTTTCCTTAATTAATAAATGGATCCATTAAGTCGTTCTTCATGAAATCCTTGCACATCTACTAATATTGCGTACAGATGTATGAGAACACACTATCCAGAATAGTTTCTTGGCTATAAAAAATCTTTAAGGCTTGATTGTAAGTTTGTAAAGGTTACTATGGATAGGCAATACAAAGTATTGAGAAGAAAGATTATCCTGGCATTACTCTAAACAATAGTAGATGTTCAGGCAGACCGTGCTTATTAATATTCGGGGCCATTTTGTAGACATTAATCCAGTCTCTCTTACAGGATTTATTATGTTTAGTATTTTGCTTTCTTATAGTATCTCTGCTGGGCAGAGAGCATATGAAGTGTTAAAGCTATTTTATGTTCTTGTTCCTGTCTGTCTGTGTGCTCAACTACAACTTCTCCATTGCAACTAAAAACTTATGTTGCAGAACTCTAATCAGTACATCCCCTCACTTTTTAAGGAGAGTAAGATCTAAACTGACCTTTACAAGTATTTCTGAATAAAATAATGAGCTATCTTTATATATTGATAATTTAGAATTAAATTTGGTTGACTAAAAACTTACGCTTTTTGCAGGAATAGTCCCTTCTTCATGTTTTACACAATCACTTCTTTATTTTTTCTTTTTTTTCTGTGAAAAATTGTCTTCATTTATAATTTCTAATTGGGGGTTTTGTTTTTTTGAAAATCACCCATTTTTCAGTTCTATATCCAAAGCTTTCAGGAACCCTTTGTTGGACTGCAGCTCTGTCCGTATTTAACACGGTACATTTCTTTTTAGGAATTAGATCCTGTGCATGGAAAACTACATTGTGAGTGGTTTTACAAGTTCTAAACACTAACAAAAGTTACTCTTGTATTTTCCTATATCAGGAAATAAAGATGGAGGAAGCTATGATCCACACAGGTATCCATACTTTTTTATTCTCCTCGGCAGCTTCTTTCCAAATAATTGCATGATCCAGTCCATTTCAACTAATGTCTGTATCCTGCCATGTTGCACACAGCATAGAGCTTTTGGTGCATGCATTTTCTAATAATAGTCTACACTGAACTTGGCCATTGGTTTTTAGTGCTGCCATTCTGCATTTAACTTCGCTCATTGTCACAACAAGACTTCATGAAGCTCATTTAAATGATTCCATGTCTGTGTTTCTTAAATGCTTACCTTATAGTGGCACAATACAATAAAATATGCAGTAAAAGAGTACACTTTTTTGTTTAGGAAGACTACTTTTTACATGTGAAACCAGTGTCATTAAATATGCTATTTGGGTTGTATGTACTCTAAGCGACCAATCAAACATTCGCTGAGGTCAGTTGGAATCTTTCCCCTGACTTTAGTTGCCATTCCAGAAGGTCTCCAGTACTTGAACTGGGGGTGGGGTTATGTTTACAGTACCTACATCCATAGGGAAAACAGGGTCAGGAAAAAACAGTTTTCCTAAGGGACAAAGGCACTAAGAAAGGTGGTGGTATAGCAGCAGTCTATTTGCCATTTATAGTACTGTATACTCCTGGAGGCTTACCTGTAGTGAATGGTCTGGTATACTCAGTTCTTCTCCCACTTTACATTAATTTTATGCCTTTGTAGCTCCATTTACTTTTCTTGATGTTACTTTTGATATACACCAAGACTGCCCAATTAGTAGTTCATGGGCTGCATGCAGCCCACAAGAAGTTAAATCATGGCTCACAGGGCCAAAAATTTTGCAGTGGGGGACAAGCAGCAACAGCATAAACCGCCACAGCTGCCAGAACTGCCATGTCAGTGGGGCCAGCACCCAAGGGGTTAATGCCACTACTGCCCCATTACAGATGCATTTATGCCCCATATACATTAATGCCCCATTACAGATGTATGTTGAGATTCCCCACTGGGGATACCTTTCAGTGGTGACATTAACCTCATGGGTGCTGGTTGCCCTGCTGTCAGATTTCTGGGTCAAGATGCCTTTCAGCAGTAGAGCTAGCAGTAGCAGCACTATCAGCATGCAGGGCTTAATGCTTCTGCCTCTTGCCGTCCCAGCAAAGTTGGATCATCTAACCTGTGAGAAGCCCCACGGTCCAGATCTGGCTGGTCACCTGAAATATATCACCTAAAATAAGCTATATAGCCCTGATTTATATCGAATTCAGGGTGGGGGAGAAAATCAGGCTCCTACAGGACACAGATGTATTAATGGTCTATTTTACAGGGGGAACAAGAGAGGGCCTTATTGTTATCTCCTGTATCAAACATAGTAGTTGGGTAATAATTAAAATATATTGTATTGCTTTGTAAATCTCCTACAAAGCCAATTTTACATTTTTTCCAAAGTTGTAGTTCCACGATGGAAAGAGAAAAGAACATAAGAAGTGCCATCTTGGGTCAGACCACTGGTCTGGCTAGCCCAGTATTCTGTCTCTCACATTGGCATAAATGGATGCTATAGAGGGAGAGCACTAAACTGCATAACTCTAGAATGATCTATCCCATATTCAGTACTCTCTCTGGCACCTACCATTGTTCATTGTTGTTTCAGAGAAGCCAGAGGAAATATCTCCAACTATTCTGTCCAATAGCCATTAATAGATCTATCATCCATGAATTTATCTAGTCCCTTTTTTAGACTTGGCTATACTATCTGCTTCCACTACCTCCTGTGGCAATGAACTGTCCTGTGAAACCTTTAGTTATTTCATAATTATTTGCATTTCTGATTAAAATCCAATAGGAGCTAGTTATTTGCTAGGAAAGTAAAATAAGATTCTTGGTTTTGGTAAGCTTTAAATTAGCCTTTTAAGTGTTTTATTTGTTGATTTTCTTACAAGCATTTCTTGTTACTGCTCTTAACAACATCTAACAGAAATGGCATTTTTTATTGTAGGATTGTATGACATTATATGGGACAAACATCATTAAAATATATCTCATCACAGAGTTTAATGAAAAAATAATTTTAATCACTGATAGTGAGACATTTCAATATTATTTTATTGTTAAATATAATGGTATAGTATAACTAAAACAATGCTATTCAGTGAAGTAGAACTGAGATTTCCCAACTACTTGTGGGACCTGAAGTTCCCCAAAGTTCAAGTGTGTTTGAGTTCAAAGTTTTGGTTCACACTTCTCCCTATGAGAAAGTGACATTTGTCAAAGAAACTGTAACTATGTCTTAGTAAACTTTGAAAGAAACATCCAAGAGGAACTGATCATATATTTACCAAATCTTCACAGGAATTAACCAGATTAAAAAAGAGATAGCTCCATGCTGCTAAGTCACTTAAGATAGTCCTTAGACTTATAAAGTCCTGTTTAATAGTCCAGCTTGGATGTGTTGGTGTTTTAAAAATTCTTTAGTTTATAATTCAGTACAGAACTAAATGTGCTTATTTTCAGCCAGTTCAACCTGTGACAGCTTCTGTGTCAATGAAGTTTGTTTAACACTTGTGGAAAGAATGAAGAATACAGGTCAATTTCTAGCTGTGGATGTGCTCAAGAAGCACCCTTAGGGGATCTTCATATCATGTGCCCAAAGGAAGGGCATAACTTCACTTGATAAGTAGCTTCTCAATTAGCATAAGCTATGCCTACAGGCTGAGACTATCAGTGCTGCCTAAGGAACTCTGATGTACATTTTTCTTTATTCTTAAGGGGAAAAGGGTTCCAGATCCTTAGGAAAACTTTGAGAAAACTGAGCTACAGATTGTCATGGGACTTTCATGGTATAATGCTAAATGCAGAGAGAAGCTCAAGTAATGTGCGAGTAAAGCATCCAAAGTTGTGTGCGCTTGTTTGTGAAGCTTTGGCAGCCAGTTTTCTACATTGGGTCCAGTATGGATCTGATAATTGTGAGAAATTCTGAGAAAGAAACACCTCTATGTTTTACAAATCATGGGTGCTTTCCTTCCTCATGCTTATGTAAGGTTTTTTTTATTCCAAGGGAAACATTTTTCTTTCTTTTCCCTATTCACTTTAATTTCCTCTCATGAAACCAAGCTTGTTCAGTTATGAAATTGAGTTGGGTTGTAAAATAACTCATTCAACCAATCACTTGATAATCAGTTCTGCGAAACTAGCATTGTTTACTTATTGTTTAAACTTGTGTGGAAGCTTCTTTGCACTTATATTAAAAAACAAAACAAATCCTTCCTGGATCACTTTAAAACGATACATTCCAAATCCATCAGGGCCCTGAAATGAGAATTTGTTGGGAATGTGGAATATTATTATATCAGTTTATTTCTCTATATAGTGCTCAGAACAGAACATGGTTTGGAGGTTAAATCACTGATAAAATTACAGATATGCTGCTTGAATTGCATAGAAAAAATGTAAATATTGTATCATCTGTACTTCTTTTGATACATGGGAGAGTTATATGAGTAATATTCATTAATGGTATCTCCCTTCTATTATCCTCTCTAGGCCCCTCCCCCCTAAAAAAATATTTTTAAAAAAATGCCCAAAAACACATCATTAGAATGTTACTGGGAAAACAGACCTCTCTGGGTGACATTTTTAGACATACATGATGTTGGTGAGTGTCTTACCATTGGGTTTTTCTTATCCTTTTTCACAAAATTCCAAGAAGGACATATGTAACTGACAGGCCGGTATTGTTATAAGTTTGCCATGTAATAAATTAGCAAAAACTAAGTGAATCCAAACCACAACAAACAGAGGTAGTGTTGGTGTAGGCTCTGTAGCTGGGTATACAGAGTTTAAGGTTGACCGTGTGGTCTGTGAAGCTGTAAGAAGTATCCAAAAAGCTGATGTATGGATTGCACCAGGACTTGCATTCAAAGACCTGTCCACTGGGTGGGAAAACCGCCAGCTACAGGCAGCACTGGTGGTCTCTCCCATCCCATGTAATCCAGCAAGCCATACATGATGTCCCCTACACAATAGAACGTAATTATAACAGGTGAGGGCAGGAGGGACCAGGAAAAGAGATGGAGACACACCCAAATGATAGGTGTAAGGGAGAGTTCCTCTCCCAGGTTGGGAGGAGGCATGGGAAAGGTAGAACCACAGGATCAGGTGTGAGGTTGCTTGAAGGGATGGGCATAAATGAAGGGGATGTTTTGAGGAAACCTCCTTTCCTATGTGAAAGGTTCATGGTGGTCCCTGAGAAATGTCAGGGTCAGCAGTTGGTCCTAGCTGTTCTGTTGGTCCCAGCTGTTTGGGGGTCATTTGATTAAGCCAGTGGTGCCCACCCTTCTAGTTCTGTGGGCTGGATGAGTGATGGAGGCCCAATCAGCAGGCCAGATCCAACACGGGGTTGGCCTGTGGGTGCAATCTTGCGTGCCAGTCTAACCCTACATACCCAGCTCTGGCCATGCATTGGCCCAACCTCATTCATCTGGATCCAGCCATTCACCGACATGATCTGGCATGTAGGGTCACATTATCTGGCTCACAGGCCTGCTCTCCACCGACGTGGAAAGTTGGCAGGAGGAAAGCAGCAATTAATGCTGTTGCTGCTCTTCCACAAAGTTTCCAGGCCTGCAAGAGCCATGTGCACTGGATGACATGGCTTCACAGGCCAGATCTTGCCCACAGGCTGGGGGGTGAGCACCCCTGGGTTAAACTATATAGGGAGAGAGAAAAGACTGAGTTACAAAGTTGGTATCAGTGGATTTTTTTTTTAAGTTGCTTGTGCTCTAGGGATGAAATTCATCCTTCCAGCACAAAGTCCAGTTTCTGGAGTTTTGTCTGAATCATTTTATAGGAAATAAGGGGAATATACTTCCCTGTGCTGGTGGGCATAGTGGCTACTGCCACACTGTTATGTTGGTATGGGGTGTTCCAATTAGCAAAGCACCAGAGTATGACCGATAAGACTCCCTGACTTATCAAGCATACTTAAGAGCTTCAGACTGCAATTACCTGAGGGAAACAAAGCAAAAGAATTAAAATACAGAGGAACATACTGTGTACTTGGCCACAAAATAATTAAAATTTATGTCATAACTTTCCTAAAAACATTAATTTACCATTGACTGTTTTTCCTGTTGAAATCTTATTTTTCCCACAGTAAAGATGGTAACTACTGTGATGTACTCTGAACTATTCACTGCCATAAAACTTTTGGATGTTTTTATTTAACTCTTCATTCCTCTACACAGGATTTAATGGAAAAGCATTGCAGTTTTTCCTTAACAAAATACTCCTTTAATTAAGTTAATAGCAATTCTGCCCACAATAAGGGAAGGGACAGGTAAAGACCTCTCTGTATACCCTTCAATCAGTACAAAGAGAAGAGAAACCACCTGCAAATCCCCTCACCCTAACCCTAACTCCTGCCAGACCTTAGATTGAAGCTGAAATGTGGTTCCTCTGTTCCTAAAGAGGATCAGTGCAAACATTTTAGAATGGGAGTAAGGTACAAGGATTTCTAACTTACTAGAACACCCAATATATTTCCTTCAAAGAGTGAAACTTGCCCACTCATTGCAGATTTCAACTTCTGGCCCTCATTGATTGTAACACAGCAGGAAAATGTGTTCAGTATCAGTAGTTCCTGTGTTAAAAATGGAGCTGTACTATTACGTATTTGAGATAAATTTCTTGAATTAACATTGACAGCCAGTGGTCTTTGTTATGAAGCAAACTTTAAACTACCTTCACAATGTTAGCTATTTTAGAGTGAGTAAATATTCAAGGGACTTTGATCACATCTGGAATCTTTCAGAGATTTCCTCAAGGTTTCTTTTCTTTTTTTTTCTGAATGTGCTAAAATAAAATCCATCTGAATTACACTCATATGTATGCTTCTTTCAGGCAAGCTTTTCATGGGTGTCAGTGCTATCCTGTACCCTCATACTACTGGATAAATCAGTTTTCTATCTTGTAAATTTAAAGAAGAGAATATGCAATACCCCCCAACCCATCCCCAAATTAAGGAGTTGTGGTTCTGAATTTGAACACTGAGTTCTTTTTCGTAAATTGATCTATCGATTGATAACTTCCTAGATAAAACTAAGGTCCTATAATTAAATTAGTCCTAAGGGGTTATTTATTTTTATGAAGCTGTTTCATCTGTGAACTTCTATAAGCAGAAGTGTGCATTTACATAATAGTAGTAGTAATAGAACACAAAATCTTCACTAACAGCCACTGCTTAAAAAAACAACCCTTGAGATATCTGAAGAATGCAAACAGCCTAAACACCAGGTCATGCAGTGGATCCTACCGGCTTCATGGGAGCACTGCTCACTGGAAGCTTGTAGAATTGGGCCTACATATATCCGTTTGTTTCCTCCATAGTGCAGTGAGAATAATTGTGTAAAAGAATGTGTGACAATTGTGAAAAGCTAATTGGTTGTTTATTAGAACAATTTTTCTCTGTATTTGTAATGTCAGGACTGCAGGCACATCATTTTGTTTTGGTCAGAGTGTTCTTGTTACACCCATGCAATTCCATTGACTTGACTCTGGTTATGTAGGAATAGAGAAGGCAGAATTTGTATGTTCAGCTCAGCAGGAGTCATGTACATGTCTACTGGTATTTGGCCTTTCTATGCGAGTTAGTAAGATGTGAAAAATGTGGCGATTATTAACCAATAACTACTGTACATTGTTAATGGCTAGTGCATTTCAGCACGCTTGAACAGCAAGGAAAGGCATGTGGAAGCTCCATGCTTTCCTTATTTGGTGATCACCATTAGACTTTGTTTATTTCTTTTAACAGAGGAGAATTATGGGATGGATGGGAAGGTTAACCTGCCAAATTTCACTGAGGACGTCAACTGGCAAGGACTGGAAGATTTGTACAGTGTGAATGAAAGTTTATATGAATACAAATACAACTATAGACTTAGTCTGGAGGACTGGACTAATTACTTGAAGGATATAGATAGAATGTTTGCACTGCTGAACAGTTATGATGAGCAAAATAAAACAGACAATAAAACCGCTCAAAACAGTGGTTACCTGGACAAGTCGCCTACACGATGTACCTTGCTGGAAATTACCTCTGCTGAGTCAGATGAGGAATCAAGTGGTCTGACTGCAGAAGAGTTACAGCCTGTTGTGCTAACAGACTTTGAAGCCCTATCTTTGAGCGCAGTCATTTTAAGTCAAGAGAGGAAACTTGAATTAAATAATGATATCCCTGACAAAAGTCATTTGAATGCAACACACTGGAGAAATAATCAAGCTGAAAAATGGATGGAAGGTAAAGAATCAGACAATTTTGAAATAGATTTCAGTGGAAATGATCTGATGGAGCTGGAGTCCAGACATAGTTTCATTTTACAGCCCATTAGCATGCTTCAGAAAGACTCACCTGAGGATGGTGGTGGCCCTATGGAAGAAGTTTTTGAAGATCAGATCTATTTTCCTGTGAGGTCTAGTGAAGCCATTGTACACCAGGCTTTAAGTGTATCCATCAGGGATCCCTCTATCAGGTCTCAGAAAATGGAAACTACATTGGAAAAAATAGAACCTAATTTTTCAGGGGAGACATCGCAAATCGTAAATGTAGAAGGCAGTGCCTCATCTGCACTCTCCCTAGATTAGATCAAATTATGAACCATATGAAGTTCTCTTGATTTTTTTTAAATGGCAAATTAATAAAGGTAATCATGACAACTGACATTCCATGTTTATTGTAGATACATTTTGCAGCTAAAGTGAGCCCAACTCTGTGTGTGTGTGTGTGTGTGTG